GCTCAAAATGTCGATTCACATCGAACAAATGATGATACATCGCTGCCACCACCACCACCAATGGAAACGTCAATTTCTTCACCAAACAGTAAAGCCAATAATATTATGAATCATAACAACAACAACAATAACAACAACAACAGTAATAGCAACAATGTGAATAGCAACAATGCAATGCCATTACAAAATGGCAGTTCCTCTAACAACATGGAGGATGATGATGATTTACCGCCACCTCCACCGCCAGCACTTAATGACGAATCCAATTATGCGGTGACGGAACTTTAAAAAACCACAAAAGAATAAACAAAACAAAAAACAATTAAACAATTTCTTAGAAAGGTAAAATGTGGAATTAAATGATTAATGCTTTGATTATTTTTTTTTTTTTTTACTTCCAATTACAGTTGACAAAAAGTTGACAAAAAGTTGACAAAAAAATTGATTGTTTTTAGGTGAAACGTAGGAATTAAATGTTGATGTGTTAGCGAATTTTAATGCATTTCAAGCTATTGTTATATATATATAAATAAATAAGAAAAATATTCTTAATTATTAAAAAAATTATTAAAAGATTAGTTGCAGTTGCATTCGTTTGCGGCTTTTCAGTAAAGTTAAAAAATTTTTAATTTATTTTAAAATGTTTTTAACTTCTTACATAGAAGCAACAAAACAATCTATAAGTTCAACGTTACAGGCTGGAAAAAGAAACGATTTTTGGAATAATTAAATTTAATTAATTTTAATTTTAATTTGCTAAATTAAAAAGAGTGAAATCAAAATAAAAACAATATAAAATTATTAATGATTAACGAGAAAATTATGAAATCACGTCGAATTATTATTTAATTATTTTATGTAAAAACTATACTCATTATAGATCGCAGTTTACTCCTAAGTAGTGTGATAAGTTCGAAAATGTAGGTTTGTGTGCGTTGTAGTTTAAATATAGTATAATTATAATATATATTCATATAAAAATATATATATATAGTATATATATATTTACTGAAATGAAGAAATGAAGTATAGTTAAGCATGCACATACATACAAGCGCATAGTCAGTAGGTTCTTCCAGTTGTATCAGAGATGAGAGGCATTTATTCGTGTTTAGTAGTGTTCAAGATTCCTAGTTCATTCGATATTTAGTTATCATAATTTTAGAATCATTTTCTTTTAGACATATACATTAAAACGAACCGAAACACGATACATGCATAATACATACTACATTTACATAGTTACAAACAAATCGGCACTGTTCTATAATCTTTAGAATAGTCCTCATACATATAATACAAACATATATGCATACTTATATACTTAAAATTAAACACAAAATCTACACTGCTTAAGATATTTGTAAATATTTATTCTATATTATTATACATGTAATTTTTTTCTTGTAAATATATTATATTTTTGTTGGGTGTATTTATATATACATATATATATTTATTATTATATATTTATTATTATACATTTATTATTATATATTTAGTATTATTATTGCTATTATTATTACTAAATTATATACACAGAAATTTTATAACGAATTACTTACTATACATGCATATAAATATAAACTTAAAACTGACTACATACTATATACATATACCTATATGCAATTTATTACATTAAACATTATTTCGGAAGTCAATTTTGAGAAATAAATTTTTTTTTTATTTTATTAAATTTTATATGTATGTATTTCGAATCTTTATGGACAATTTTAGATTGATAAGCTAAAATATCTTATCAGAGTCTTATTATTTATCTGAACGGATATATATAGTTTATATTTTTATGTGGTGCAATTCCGAAATCCAGGGTATAGCAATTTTACAACAGATTTTAGTAGATTTTACTATTTTCAGTAATTTTTTTTAGTAAGCCAGTAAAACTAACTTCTCGAGATATCGAGTTTTAAAGTTAAAAACTTTTTTAATTACTGATACTAACAAAAACTGCACATGCCATCAAAAACCTAATCGTCGCATAGCAAGTAGACACTATGTTTTCGAGACACTATATCTCGAAAACTAAACTATATCAACATATAGCGTAATTAAAAAAAAATGGTAAAAATTGCTATCTTTACTAAAATTTGTTTATAAATGGGCTTGTCTAGAAATTCGGAGTCGTTCCTTTTATGTATATAATTGTGTGTCCCATTTATGTAGTAAAACAAGTAAATAATATATAACAAATAACAAAAAAACGAATTGAAATATATAAATTATATATAAATATAAGTACTATATTTATATATTATAAATAAACTAATCTATTAAATTGCAGTTCAGCTGTTCAAGGAAGAAGAAATTAAAGCTATATTATATTTATCTTATATATATGCGTAGATACCATATGCTCAAAAAAGTGGTGTTATAATGAAATATCATCTGCTTTTACGAAACCCTTTCCTAAGATAATAATGCGTTAATATACAAAAAGTTAGATCATTTATTGGATCATTAAAGTTGATCCTCAGAGTCAACAAAGGGTTTTAGCCCATTGTGTTACTATATAAATTTCTAATAACATGTTTCCACTTGCCTCATTTCATCGGTTTTGCTTATTAAGGCCGTTAATGAAGATAATTTACCATACAATATGCTTTTATATGAAAAAGGTCATTATAAATAAATGAACTGATTTAAGAGAAGAAATATCGTATACAACTCATTAAAATAAATTGCCAACAAGAGAAATGATCATAATTTGAAATATTTGTCATATATTTTATATGTAAAATGTACAAACAAAGCTATTTCATATGCATAAATCAGATAATGCCAATGGATACAACCAAAACTTTAATCCTTTAACGTAACGCTAGTTACTTGAAAACATTTATTTGAAGAATAAATAGCAATTATGTGCAATCAGTATAGGTTTATATACTGTTTAAACGTTCTTTCAGCACAGACATAGCTCACCTCGGTGCCGCTTAATATATAATCTGCTAGAAATCTTTTTCCCAGCAGGCTTTGCCATCGGTGTCTACCGAACTTAGTTTCTGTAACTACGTCTACTTCCAAATACATCGTATAGAGTTCATGATTGCTGTGTCTCTGGAATTGCCCTTTCTTACATATGGGGTTAACAATTCTTCGTATAACTTTTCTTTCAAGGGCGATTAAGAGGTCAAAGTCTATGTTTTGGGTTCATATGTGAATACTGTTAAGATCATTTTGTTATGCCGCAATAGCTCAGAAGTAGCTCGGAAATTTTCTGAATTTACAGATCCTTGACATACTATAATAGCTTTTTTGCTAGATTGAAGCAGTTGCTCGCATATTTCTTCATGCGCATTATTATCAGCTGCTACAATTTACCATGGTAATTGAAGTTTTACAACCCTCTTCAAATTCTTACCCCTCATTTTTTGTCATTGGACCAACTGTAAATTATTACAGCCAAGATCACCATGGTTTTCGCTTAAAGAATACAGATTTAAACTTCTTTCTTGAAATCTAGATGACATACTAAACAATGCAGTTTGCTAGATTAGACTAGAGCTAACCAAATTTCTAAGCTAAAATTCATCGAAGATAAAAATAATATAATAAAAAAAAAACAGCGACATATTTAATAAAATCGTACTGATTATAAAAATCGAGGACGAATCTGACAAAAAAAGTGTCAGGAATTAAATTTTATTTAAATTTTTTTTCGGATACAGTATCGAAATTAAAAACAATTAATGTTAACAATTTTAGACTGCCACCTAAAGCAAATTTATTTAATTAAATAACAATTCAATTAATTAATTCAATACTTTTTGTAATTGTTGAGCAATAATAAACTGGAACAGTTTTTTCGGGAAGCATTAAATTAAATGTTCAAGGCTCAGTTCCGTAGTGTCCAATTATTCATTTATGGAGTTTGGAACACTTTATTTAACTGCCAAAAAAGGACTTTAGAACAGACTTCGAATATTTTCTTTTCTTTTTAATATTCAATTTGATGTATTTTTATATTATTTAAATATTATTCTAAAGCAAATATATGAAACAAAAAAAAAAGCGAGACAGAAATATTTTAACTATATAATATATGAACACTGTATAATCCTTTTCATATATAAAATCTCTCTAACAAATATTTGTATAACTTGTGTACTAAAAACTTACAATATAAACAATAGAAATATAGATATTTATATAGATTGGTATATTTGTTAATTATAATAAACAGAAGATTACATTTTTAAACAGGTATAATCATATAACAAATAAAATAAATAAATAAAAATAATATATAAAATAAAAGTTATATACGAAGAATCTTATATTCTTAACGTGTTTAGGATAAGACTAGTCTGATCCTTTGTAGAATAAAGTGAGCAAATCTAAATTCAATTAAAATAAGGGTTTTTTATATTTTTATTTTTTTATGATTTATTTTTAATATTTAATTATTAATATGTTTGGGAAAATATTTAAATTTTTAAGTTTCCACAAACAATTTTGTTTTTGAAATTATATTTACGTTGTAAAAAAAAATAAATAAATACAATTTTTTTTATTTATTTAAAAATTAACAAAATAAATTTTTATATATAATTATATAAATTTATTAACTTAATTAACGTGCTCAACTTGTAGAATAGTGTAGCAATAACTTTAACACTATAACACTCGTATAAAACTAAAAAGAACAATTAATTTAAAATATTTATTGTTATTTTTAAAATGCACAAAATTTGTAAAAAGTAAATTATCATTTTTATAAATGCTTTATCAATTAAATTCATTAATTAAAATTAATATGTCTAATGTATGTGTTAACATGTGTATAAATATACTATATACATATAATATATATGTTACATATAAATATATATTTATATATTATATATATTTATATTTATATAAATTATAAATATATAAGTTTAAGCAGGTACATAATAAACTTAAGTATATAATTAATTAATATATAGTTATCTGACTTTGTATCTATAGTATAAACATGTTAAATTATCACAAATATTAAGAAAATAATATTACATTTAAATACTAATATTAATTAATTGATTCTGTGTTAAATGTTGTCGTACTTATAGTAGTTACTATTAAGAATTTAAATAAAAAATATATAAAAATATTATTATTTATAACAAAAATAAATATATTATATTTATAATAAATATTTAACTGATGTAATTAAAAAACAAAAATATGTATAAATTAGCTAAATAAAATATTATTATATGCGAGGCTAATTTTATTTATATTTAAAAGATTGTAAGAAAAATTTATAAATTAATTATATACATTTAAGAAACAGAATGCGAATACATTATTAATAAATTATAAACCATATATTTTTAATTTTAGTTTATTTTTTTGGATATATATTTAATTATTTTTCCTTAAAGCGTGCTATAAACTTATTTTTACATATGTAACATTATTTTTTAAAAGAAAACATATTCAGTGGAAAAGAAAAAACAAACATTCATAAATTGTAAACAATAAAAAAAAAAAACAATTAATACATATTACATTTAAATTTATAAAAATGTAATTAAGGGTTTTTAAAAGAGAAAATACACAAAATTCGTTCATAATAGAAACTATATTGCA